ATGAGATCAAAGCTGCTAAAAGAAGATGAATACGCAGATATTTCTGCAAACTCATCAAAATGACTTACGAGTGTTTATTTTATGTTTAACAGTAAAGCGCTTAAACAACTTGATATTCAAGTGGAACAGTATAGTTCTTAAATTACTCTTCAACATAATTATGCATATTTATAGTTGCTAGTTGAGTTACGCATAGATTAGTGTGAATTTAATACCAAGCTATCTTTGGACTCTCGAACAATCTTCATATAAATATACGCTTGTGACGGGTCTACTGTGTAGTAACAGACCAATCGCGTTTCACTACCCTAATCCGACGCGAGTCATTCTAGTTAATTTTCAGTTAGGGTGGAAGGCCCTTTGGCAGTAATTTTCGCGTAGTTTAAGTAAACCGTCGAATCGACATCCTGAACGCAGTTTTCGACCGCCAGATCACAGTGTGGACCTCTCTCCACTGTAACGTCAGCTAATAGTATGAAAAATAAGCATGTGCTGTTCGGGCAAAAAGGAACACACTGAATAATACCGGTATTCATGTTTCTGTCTGTAACATTGGGTGCAGGGGCAACTTCACAATTACAGCTTCACACGCATTTAACTGTGTTTTGGTTCATCATGCAATCACCCGTTGTGTTCATTGGTGACAGACTCTTGTCTCTAAGCTTGTGTTGACATGTTCACGTCACGAAAAAGGCAACCATCAGTTACGAGTACGAAACCAAAGTCCCGTTTAAACTGCAGTTACACACCAGGGTTTAGACTGATAACACTTGAAGATATTCGTTCTTCAGTTAGTTGATGTCTCAGCTGAAAAAGTCGTCAGTATTTTTTAACTGAGAATAATGACATTTTTGTTTAACTCCGTTTCATTGTGTCTGAAGAAAATTGCTTGAATGCGGTCCACGCACGCGTGCAACTTCATTTTATGTCCAACTCCTAAAGTTTAGCATGTATTCTAAACAGAACTAACCGTACTTTCATGCAGTATCCACACGGATCATGCATTGTATAACACAAATTGCTGAATAGAGGAAAATAAGGGAACATGCCCAAACACTCCATGGCAGCCAACGTCTTGGTGGATCGCTCGATGCATTGAAACACTCCTACAAGGACTTACCCAAGCACAGTTATTGGTTGACTAAAAAGGAGCAAAAAGTTAGCGGAAAGAATTCGGAGAATTATGAATGTCCACTACCGTAAATATCTTACAGGAATACACTAAATGTCTAGTACCTAACGGAGGGGCAACAATCTTCCTCAGTGAATGTAACAATCGGATTAGTCGAAGCGCACAAGCTTTTACGAAAACAGCATCGATTACAGCTGTGCACCTGGCGTGGACGAACTATCAACGACTAATTAGGGTTAACTGGATGAATGTTTATGTGTAATTACTTGAAAACACATTCTCTTTGGTGGCGTAGCTTGATCGGGTTACCGTAGACATACCCAACAGATGGCGAATTTAAAGTCGCAAGTTTGACATATTTTGTTTGTGTCATATCCACAGGGTGTCTGCTGAAAAGGCCGCATCCCAGAAGAAAGGCTGAGTTGTGCAGCCCGACGGAAGTGTTCAAATACGGCTAGTTAAACACAACGGGAATGAGTTTATTATATTTAAAATTTGTTAGCTTAAAATTGAGAACTCCCTCGTAAGTGCAGACAATGACCAGGTTGCACAAACTGTCAACCGCTTTGTCGCACGTCTAATTTGATCTCGTCTAGTTTGAATTCTCTGATATTAATGACCATCACAACTTTTCTGTGTCGTCCCTCTTCCGGCAGTTGGTGTTGCTACTTGGCCGTTATTCCGTGGAAACGAATAATTTTATTATATGCCATCGTCGCTGGCCTCAAACGCACCACAACCTTAGTCGACTAAAGGACATTCAGGTTAGTTAACTAACATGGCGAGCCAAAGATTCCATACTTCCGTATGCATTTTGTAACTATTCTATTCATAAGCGTACTTGTCTGGAAAGATTTTTCGAGATTACAAAATATCACCATTGTATTCTAAATTTAAATAGGGTTATTTCCTAGAAGTGTAACGTTATTCAAATTTCACAATATGTGTTGCTTGAAACTGTCGATTTGCGATTTTGCGCTGTTATTATCTTTGATATAATATTGAACTATCGTTTTAAACTGAGTTAAAATTGCCAACTAGAGTATATATTGATCATCTCTTGTCAGAGACTATACTTTGAAAGTGTGATCATCATCCTAAGGATCTTAAGGATCTTCGTTGGATGAACGTAACCGGATATCAGTCTGAATCCACGTATGAACTTTAAACCTACCTCAATTTGCATAACAGGTGCGCACTCGGTGCGCAATCTTAACAAAACAAGTAGAGTTGAAAGGGGCAAATAATCTCATTTGACGCCAAAACATGTGGATAAAGTTTCACGAAACTTTCCGTCGCAGGTGACATCCAGACTGCTGTATTCTGCGCTGTACATCCTGCTTCAGATTGGATCACGACTGAAGTATCGTGTCCCATATGGTTGGTAATGAGTTTGTTGCTGTAGAAAAGGAAAGTTTAATTGTAAGATATCTTTTTTACGAGGAAGTAGTCACAATCCACAAGTGTGCTTTCACGCTTTTGAATGATTATTTCCACAAAACATATAGAAGACAAACAACATCATGTCACTCACTGCCGCACTACCGAACTACCTTTGCCTGTTTGGCTTACGCAATTCCTTGTTTCTCACAACCATCAGCACATAAAAAAGTCTGTTTTTTATTTTCCAAATGTGTGACACATTATCAGTTATTCTAATATCCATACCTACGGACCACTTCATTTCGCAAGAACGGAAGATTGTTTGGGGAATGGATTTTTACATAACTAGACTAAGAGATTGCCGTGCAGCTTTGTCTAACAAGCCATAAAACGCGAGAAGTTGCACGGGATTCATTGAAACAGCGATGCTGAAAAAGCGACAGAACACTTCGATAAGTGTAAAAATGTGCCCCTCTGGTAAATGTATATATAAATGTTTTCTATTTGATCGCAAAATAATGTTAATGTTTCCTATAGTGGGCTGTCTGTCTACATGGACGCCTCGCCCACTTCGGTCAGCTGACGCCCAGCTGCAAAAGGCTGGGATTATGAAAACCAATTCAGGCACATGGTCACATGTGCCTGTGAGCGCTTTGCACTAGTATATTGAAGGGTAGATTTTTGAACTTCCAAGTAGAACCAGTATGCGCCACTTAGTGGGAAACATCGAAAGGTTCCCCGTGCTAAATAACAATCCTGTCGATTTGCCAAAATTCGTTCGGCTGCTTTTTCCCCAAATCTCACGAACACCTTTAATCCTATAATCTTAAATGTTGCATGTGAAAGATTTTGTACAACCAGTAAAACATTTTTACCGACGAGAACGCAAACTTGGAACATTTAGACAAATTTTGTCTAAAATCTATTGCGGTATTTTCAAAGTACAATCAAATGAGTTGACCACCAAGAGGTTCATGAAATGAGAATTTCCACGGACCGGCATTTCCCTGGTGCTTATTCCATTTTTTGACAAGTAACATAGAATGGTCTTATGAGACAGTCATGTGAATATAATAGTCGTACGATATGACTTGAAAATTCAAAATTATCTCTAAAAATGACAGAGTTTGCCCTTCTTACTTTTCATCACGTCGGTATAGTTCCCAAACGTACGTCAACCTTTTGCTCTACTTGACGTTGATTTGTACGAAGTTCCCAAAGCACAAAGCTGGATTAAACGGGAGACCTAAATGTATCTCAGATGACTCTTTATCTGGTGATGTTCTACAAATGAATGTGCTGCACAAGGTTCTGTCATTTTAAGTTGCTTTATTGTTTGGAATATCACAGCATATTTCCTTGAATCTCCTTTTAAGATCAAATTGGTGTGTAAATGATTGTATTTTGTAAAGTTTTGGAAACGTTCGCCGAACTACTTACGGCTCAGGCTGTTTGTCCAACTAGTAATGCCTTTCAGCTTCTACATGAACACACATTATTTACTGACATCAGAACCTGAACTGCTTGTGCCCGAATGTGTTGTATGCATTTCGTCGGTGTGCTGGAATTATAGATTCTTGACAACAATTGCTCCATCGTAGTGACCATTCCACTGGCTCATCATGTTAATTCGTCGCTGTTGATCTATATATAAGAATCAAGTATGTCCTAACATTCGGTATGCTTATTTCGCAGAATTTCATCATCTGAAATGTAACAGAACTTTGCCAGTCCATTATAGAAATCTTGTGAGGGAACAAATTCATCAACCAGATTTTTGATGCCACCTGGGGGTGTTTGCTCGCGGGACTTCTAATTTTCCATCCCCACCTCCTCCTCACCTCAACCGCACGGCCTAACTCACTACTGCAGCCTAGTCAACAATTCCGCGAGCTACGTCCTGTATTTACTTGCTTAGAATGAATGGACTTAGGCTTCGGTTTTGGGAGATTCAGCTTCTAGATACAAAGTTCACTGCAAGGGATAACCCAGAGATATAACACTGGTTTAGCAGACCCATTTTTGAACATCGCTCAACAGACACCCCAGAGATCTACGCAAAATTTCCCCGATTCCTACAGCAATTGAAGACGTTGTTTTAGCCTGAACTTGAATATGGGCGTGTGCCAATCTAGTTTTCGTCAACACGCCTAACGTTATATTTTTACTTGGCAAAAGTTTTCAAAATATGCCTAAGGATTTCCTTAAGGAAGCGGTATCTACCGAAAAGTAACAACATTCGTTCATGCCAAATGAGTCGTAATGGCTAATTAAAATAGTGTTCAAAGTGGCTTTGATTACTTTACATCATTCTGATTACCTCTGTAGACATGTCAAAAATCAGTGCACCAAAATTTACGTTTATGAGCATTTTTCTGCGCTTTTAACTGCCTGCTACGATCAGCTGAGCTCCTCCATAATCCGCACTTGAGCATAAGTTCGACTGGGGTATAGACAAGTTTACATTTTTTTCTTTCTTATTTAGATTTTAAAGTTGATCCGCTTGTATTCACCTGTATTTTTTACTTTTGTTATTTGCGCCGAGTGAAGCTGGAAATAGCAGCGTGGTACCTATCCCCATCATTTTCTAGGACACTTGGAACACAAAATGCAACTAACGCTAACTACACAACCAAACATAAGCAAATTAAACAGGTTTATGCGTTAGCCTTGATATCAAAACTGAATCTGATAGTAGAGGGGGTTTCGGATGAGAACGGGCATATTGTTCAAAAGGAAGATACCGATGGGCTCAATGCCCACTACTATTCCTTAGAGTAAGAAGGGAATTTTTTATTCTTTAATAATACCCGGGATTCAAAAATGCTTTCACCCACTCAACCCAGTGCTGGTGGTGAAGCGTTAGCAATCCAAGTTCCTAGCTCAGCTAATAGAGCAACAACCAGAAAGCTGAAGCAACTGGAACAAGAGACGGCTCAAATGCAAATATGTGAACGATTATCAGTTTGAAGCAGCTCGTTGCACCATACTTCAACTTATCCAACTATTGTATTTTCGTGTTCAGAATTAGAGCTTTTGTATTTCTGGATGCTTACTTATAAAAACCGGGAACTCCAAGAACTGACAGCCTCTCTACATTTAGCTTTTTTGGGTGGTATATTACTTGTCCATCATTTCACCAGTGTTTGTATATCAAGGCGATGCTATGAGTACTCAATCACTCAGAACCCTTTTATTCTTTGTGAACTCAGCTGTCAGCGATAGGAATTCCTTAAGTAAATATGGATATTTACGTGCGTATGCTTCTGGGAGACAGCATGTTAAGGCCAGGTATTTGGTGTTATTAGGCATTCATTACAGTAAAGAGCTGACTTCTTTGGACCTCGGAAATGACCTGTTTGGACTCGATACCACAAACGATTCTCTCACTGTAGACTACAGTGTACCCTCAAAAAAGGTTTTATAAAGGAAATGAAAACGGGCGTTTCTAGAAGTTTGAATAACGCGAACGTATTCACAAAACATGCTAGAAAAGATAATCGGTGTGAAGTTTAGATGCTTTATAACGTACTGGGTCATCGGAACATGCTACAAAATAATTTTGTCTACACTTTTTCACTTGATACGCACTAACCAAATTAATGAGCTTAAGCCTTGCAGCAGTTCTCCATTCTGTTCCCGTTGATCATGCATCGAATCTCCACATCAATATTTGCAGACATGTTAAACACAGGGTTATTAGGCCAGAGATTTGCATCGGTTCAACTTCGAACCAAAAATGATCTAATCGGTGATACGGATTATTTGCCAATGATTTACTTGTAAAGATATATCACAGGTATCTTTAGTATTCATCGCAGGAGATGTGAATAATATGCTACCATAAACTAAAGCCAATGCTGAACTCTTTTTGAGCAAGATTTTAGTCCTGAGGTATAAAAAATCTTTGGGATAAAAACATGATTTTGAGACCTCAGTGATCAAGGAATTCGATAAAATGTTGACAGAAATAGCTATTTGTATTAAATATTCTTTGTTTTCAGACATTACTCGGGACTATATTGCAGGATCACGCGCAAAATGACTCAGTTTTATAAGCAGGTGTTGATGTCTGAATGTTTTTTTCCGGAGTATTTTGTGACAGGTATGTAAAGGGAACAATCTTGTGAAATCGTGATCCAGCTAAGTGTATCTGGTTAAGTATACTGGAGAAGAATGTTCACACCCAAGCGCAAATGGTTTGTTTTTGGACTAAACCATAAATGTCTGGGCACAATGTTTGGCGAGAAAGAGCAACAAAATACTAAGCGCTAACAAATGAGGCAACACAACTGCAATTGCCGGCATGTAAACTCCAAGTTTATTAGACAGTACGTCTAATGCTACCGGGGTTACCTTGTTTCTGGCATTTTTCTCATTCAAATTCAGATTCGGACATTCAGCACCTGTCGATTAGCTATTTTAGGAATTGCCTGATCGATTTCCGTTTAATGCACATGGGGAGTATAAAACTGAAGTTGTGTGCATGAAAAGCGTTAAGCACAAATGAAAGTGATTGTGTCGAAAAACTATCATGTACCGTTTGCTCTACTGGTGGTCACTACAGAAGCCAATCAGCCCGTCAGTCATCGGTTACATCACTAGGGTTGCCACAAGTGTCTCGTAAATTAAAGAAACCGGACGCTTTAGTCCACTCTGTATCACAAAAAAAGGTTCAATATATAACTGAGCTATGTAATATGTTGAAAATTATTTACCTGATTTGGACATGACCAATGAGAGAAGGAAATACACGGCCTAAATAAAGATTTAGGTGGTGGGTTTGATGCCCCTAAATAGGTAACATCGGTTACGGTAATCATATTTTGAGTGCAACTTCGAAACGAAGGGTCGTTAATATGTCCGACAGACGTATTTGCTCAAAATGATAAGCAGCGTCAAAGGAGAATATAATCAAGAGGACAAATAAAAATAAAGGAAGGTTGAAACCATTTTGGTCAGTCTGGTAACATGGTTTGATATGAGTATAAACGAGAATTTCATTGCTTCCTAAACCGTATCCATCAGCTCTTTCCTTAGTAAACATAGTCAACCAGGTAGAGGGGTTTGTGTGGTTGTTGTCAACTCAGACCATTAAAAAGGTGAATAAATCCATCGGTTTTTAATGAATTCATAAAAGCAGAAGTAAGGTTCGACGTTACAGTGATGCAGGACCGTTTAAACGATGGTTAGTATGGAGTAGTGGTGACGCATGGGACCTGTTTCAGTGTCTGAGAAAGATATCTCGTTCACCATCAGCCGATATAATTTTGGATAAAAACAATAAAGGTAGAACGTCTGCTGCTTTGGTATCTTAGGATGAAGTCACTATGCCGTAAAACAAAGCAAATGAGGGGTCTCCTAAATGAGTACAAGAATGGAATTCGCAGCTCCTGGAAAAGACTTATCTAGAATTACGCACAAATGTCAGATTTGAAAGAACCTAAGTTGCACCCACGAGCTGTATACAAACCACCGTATTTCACAAGTAAACGCCAAAAGAAAGACTGCAGTAATTTGCACATCAGATTGTTATGGAGTTGCCTAGCGTCAGTTTGAGGGTGAGTTATGCACAAATCTGTACCGGTTTAATATTTTCTCTTAGGCTGACCTACTACGCATACTGCTTGGTCCGAGTATAGATTCTGTCGAATGATACTTACAGGCGGGCGAGTTCTTTACAGTCAAATCCACCGCGAAGAGGCCGGACCGATTAGTCTGTCGGCGGTTTGAGTACCTCACTAACCTATCACCAACCTGTGTATTGTGGGATGCCCATGTAGCATCCGAAGAGTCTTTCTCACCAGGCCGGTCAGCCAACAGAAGCATGACACTCAATCCCCTGGCCAACTAGGCTTGAACTTAGAAGGCTTGCGGTAACTTGGCTGTTCGATTAGTCTTAAGCAAAAAAACCCATTGGTCTGAATTTAGGGAGTTGAGCCGAAGGTTGGCTTGGGAGATATAATCGTCTTTCTCTATGAGTATTGGCACCACGGCAGCACATTAACCGATCTCTAAACGTATGATTTTGGTTTATTTCTGTGGTCAAATAACTGTAGGACGCTGAAAGTTGGATCAGTGTGCTGTTTTAGGTGTCAGACAGACATGTCACACTCATTAACTTGGGTAGAAGTAGAATACAGCGAAATAACTGCGTACGTTATGATGAGGTGTGGCTGTCGGGTGGATAACTACGGTGAGAGAGAAATGGTTAAATTCTCGACTAGTTTCTTCATCATTTATGTGTCAAATTCTACTGGCAAGCACACGGTTGCACTACTCATAATGAGCCCAATTAAACATCAACTAATCCTACGCTTAACCTCTAGAGACAGCATACATATGACAGATTTGTAATTATCTGTACTCTTTGGTCTCGTGTTATAATTACACCGCTCCCAGAACTTTGTTAAGTCACAGAATACGCAAGGGGAATTCGGATTCAATAGGAGCTATAGGCATACTCATTTTCTGAAAATTCTGACTGCATATTTGTAAGAAACTGACCTGACTCAACATGATCTAAACTACATTTCGGCACCATACTTGTCAGAGTTACATTATAGACTGACAACGGTGAGTTTGGGACAACCAATTTAACAACACAAGATAACCTGATATTTCTCGCTCTCGAATGACCACGGTTGCTATCACTGCTTTACCAGAAGACGTCTCCCCTGAACTTGGACGGCTGGATAAAGAATACTCGCCTTTAGTGGTGTACATAAAAATTGATCATCACTTGCTCAACTAAGTAACGATACCGAACATAGGACACATTCAGTCCCGGTGGGGTATATAATTTCGTTGTGCATGTGAAGAACATCATTCAAAATCTGACCTGCGAAAAGTTCGGTAACCCAGGTACATAAGTCAATACGTAGCATCTACTGGTCTCTCTCATATGAAGTAACACTATCAACGTGTAGACGCCCCAGCGTCTTTTGCGGTTGCCTTCTTAATAGGGTGTAGCAGTAGTGTTAATAGAGGAGAATGTCGGTAGCTCAGGTAGCGTAGATGGTCGTTGGCTTGTTCGCTGAGCTGGGCAATTTGGTTGCAAAGGTTTCATCACCAATCGAGGTGACATCGTCAGTGCGTAGTTGTGCGTAGCGGTGGGTTAGCACTAACCACTAACCCACTGCTACGCACAACTACGCACTGATGATGTCACCTCGATTGGTGATGAAACGTTTGCAACCAAATTGCCCAGTAGTGTTAATCTTCACCCACCTCCTCAAAACCATCCAAATCCACAATAGGGGTGATGATGAGCACTCCTGTGTCTAGGTCTGCCTGATGATGGTTTGTTATCTCCAGTGACCCGGGCACTTTTCAAGCTAAAGGCCTATCTCAGCTCATTGATATGCTAAAAATGTGGGATCATTTTAATGCATTTGACTGGTATTCCTGAAATAAGAGAGCCAATTACTGTCTACGTTCTTTTATCAAGCTACGAACGAAAGCACCAAAGTTTTTCCCAATGAATGTGAAAGTTTTAACTCTTTATTGATTAGCACATACTCAATTTTTCCCCAGTGCTATCGTAAGCAGAATAAAATGACGTCGCTGGAAAATCCATTCCAACCCGACTTTCGCAACTACGTTGAAGTTAACCAGCCGCGATAAGCCATCCCAGACTGATTGACACATTGAACTGACGGACAACTGATCTGATTTGATGTTATCTGTCTTCCACTTGCGCGGGCTGTTAAGTGCATATCAGGTAGATACTGCAAAACTGTTTCATGAGTGAGTATTAAATTTGGGATGAAAAGCG